TGTGATAAAATAAAAGACATAACAGACAGAAATCCAGGTTTACCTGTGAGGAAGTTGAGAGGCAGCCTTCGGGGAACGAGGCCTTTAGGAAACTTTATGCAGGACGCTTCATAAATCTTCTGCCGCGCCTCTAAACTGCCTGAAGAGAAAGGAGAAAAATGGTCAACTGACACTGCAGCGGTCGGTTAATATCACAATCCAAACTTGTGCTCACTCAGGAGATCTGCTGAGTTCAGTTTGTTTGGGGGTCAAATGGTGCAACAAACTGTAACTACAAAGGGATGAAGGTGGTTGTTAAGAGCTGAGAGTGTGCTATGACCACACCCCCACACTATTACAGCACAAAGAGCAGGCGCCATGGCGCCACGCTGCTGTTGGAGCATCAGCAGACACACAGACTGGGACGAGCTCAGAGTTTGCAGTATAGAGCAGCAGACATGTCTCACAGCTCGTAGATATTTGTGCTACGTTCGAGCGTCCAGTGCAGATTGTGAAAGAGGATCAGCGTGTACAACCACTGAAGACTCGAGACATGAAATGACAGCTGCACTTTCAAATGCAGAGATTCTGATGAATCTGTGGTTCCAAGTGACTGCAATCACAAACGTGTGTCCACGCTGCCTGTGCAGCAGCCTTCATTATAATAAGTAACAACAGAAGAAGTGTGATGGATGAGAACGTTCTCACCCGGCTTTAAGGCCTTTTCCAGGCCTTGGTAGTAGGCCCAGTTTTCTGGGTTCCTTTCCTGGAGTCTTCTGTAGACCTCTGAAGCCTCCTGATGTTTCTCCAGCTTTAGCAGCAGCTCTCCTGCAAACACAAACACTCGCTGACTCAAAGGTCTCACACTTTTAACACCAACTACACCCACAGCCATTCTTTTCTTTCCCCTTTTGTTTGTTGAAGAAACCTCGACCCTTCTGCTTTGTCATCCTCCAAGTTGCCAACAAAGGTGTTGTTTACACCTGGAAATGTTCCAGTCTGGGTTTAAAACGTACCACAGCACCAAATCTGCTCTTTTAAGAGTTTTTAATGACATATTTTCAGCGATGGATTCTGGGAATTTTTACCTGTGCTTTAAGATCTAACAGCTGCTTTTGACACCGTCTCATCTCCACACTGGAGCAGTGGGGGCAGCTGTCAAAATTAAGCCGGTCCTGTTCAGATGCCACCCAGAGACTCCGATCCATGCATTCATCACGTCTCCTGGATTATTGTGATTGTCTTTAGACTGGAATTAGCCGGGCCTCCCTGTCACGTCTGCAGCGGGTACAAAACGCTGCTGCACGATTTTAAACTGGTGCAAGCAAACGAGAGCACATCACCCCAGGTTTAGTGTCCCTTCATTGGTCTTTCCCCTTCTTATTTGTCTGAGCTGCTCCACTCCTACACACCGTCAGTGCTCCTCAGTTAACCAGGTCACTGTCACAGAGACCTTTGATAAAAGCAGAGGAGCCTCTGCAGTTTTGTCTGCCACTGCAGGTCAGGCAGCTCCATCTCTTGCTGTTTCCAAAACCCATTTAAAAACACAACTTTCCTCCTTCTGTCTTAAACCTCTTACCCTGCACTGCTTTATTCTTTTATTTTGGTTTTTGTGTGCAGCTGTTATATTGTTTTAAAGCGCTTCAGAAATAAAGTGAAATTAAAAAGGAAGGAGAGCAGCAGGGAAGGGCTGGGACTAATCCCAGGTACCATGGAGCGAGAGGTGGTGACATCACATGTCACGAGGCTAACAGAGAGACATTCACAGCTAACCGCACTAGCTGCACGTCTTTAGACTGTGAGGAATTAGACGGTGGAAACTAGGGCTGCACGATTTTTTGGCTTAGAATTGAGATCATGATTCTCTCACGATTTTCTTTTCCAGTATAAATATTTATTGCACTTATTAACTGCACATCGACTTCGTAACAGTTGAGACTGAACATAAAAACAATAAATAAACATAAAAACAATAAATAAACATAAAAACAACAAATGTCTCACGTTTGTTGTTGCTCGACACTGCGTGTATAGAGCAGGTAGAGCAACAATAGAAAAATAGTTGCGGGACGGCACTGTGTAGCGTTTGTCTAGGGTGTTGATCGTTTTCCTGAATCCCTCGTTTTGCACAGTGTTGATGGAGCCATATCTTTGGTCAGGTGATAAATAGCCTCCGTGATTTCTTTGTACCTGCGGGAGTTCGACGGGTATAGGGAAGCGCTGTATAAGGTTCCCGTTATTGATGTTTGGGTGGTTGACCGGGACGGATTTTCTCCTGTCACTTTCTCGTCATCCCTGACGTGCTCTCCGTTGTTTTTTCCTGCTAATTTTAGCAGCCAGCTTCTGTATCACGTGGTATAAGGCTCCGCCCTCGTCATTTGTTACGTCCCGGATCAAAATGCGGTACAATCGTCGTCTTTTGTTTTTTTTTAATCGTTGTCATTTGGAAATGAGATTGCACATAAGTATGAATCGAGATCACGATTTTTCTAACGATTAGTCGTGCAGCCCTAGTGGAGCCCACCTCCTGCTGTGAGCCAACAGTGCTGCCCACTAACTACACACAGTACGCTGAGTGTGCTTTATCCTTGTGTGCCAAATCTATTTTGTTGGTGAAAGTCCAGTGAAGCTGATAATTCATTTTCTTATCAACAGCAGCTGACACATTTCCAGAAGAAGCTGCAGACTTGACTTGGTTCACCACTCAGCGAGCAGCACTGCACCACCCACCTCTGGTCTCCTCCACAGCCAGCTTGTCACAGATCTGTTTCTCGTAGCTGTTGAGGTGATCGAAGGCCTCCTTGTGCAGCCCGGCTTCCCTCAGGACCTGATTCTGATACAGCAGCAGTTCACTGTACTCATAATCCACTTTGTCAGGCGACGTCTGAAAAACAACACACAAACAATGAGACACTGCCACGTGGACTTGAAATGCCCATATTAGGATGTTTCACTTTGAACTTCACGTATATTATTTTTATTATCAGTAGTAATTTTCCTAGAAGGTTGGACTGGACACCCCAGAGTGCACAATAATGTATCAATCAGACCTTCTGCTGCTTCTAACTACAGACGAGAACAACTTCCTGGTCAGAAAAATGAAGCCCAGGCAGATGTCCTTAAACCTGCCACCGAGTGGCAGCAAGTGTAGCTGCAGGAAGACGTGCAGACTTACAGAAGGTGATGAGAAAAAGGCTTTTTCTGCAACAGCTTGAATACTTTAAATAATCACTGTTTAGTTAAGGTCATGGAGGCCTTCTTATCCAGAGCTGCTCACCTGTTGTGTTTTGCGGAATTCCTCAACAATCTTTGCAGCCATGTCAAAGTCCTCGAGCAGGTGATAAGCCACTGCGTATCCGATCCAGGAAGCTCGTTGGGCTGGACGGAGCTGCAGCAGCTGGTACCGAGTCTCCTGGAGAGAGAGAGAGGCATCATGTCCACAACTGTCCGTGTTTACAATCCGACTTTCCGTGTTTTGACGCTAAAAAGGAAGCTGACACACGAGATCAGTTTGCCAGTCGCAGCCTTTTACCGCCATCTTTTGATTCGCTGTCTCATTCGTCATTCCTCACCCTGTATCCTTCCAAGTCTCTCATCTGGATCTGCAACAAGGAGAGGTCTCGGAGAATCTGCAGATTGTCCTTATCCCACTTCAGAGCGTTACGGTAACACTTGATGGCCTCGTCATACTTTTTATCTGAGCGCTGCAGCAGGCCGTACACGTGCCAGCCTGGTG